TTGGAAGATTAGTCATATATATATTTTTATTTCTTGTAATTGTCTTTAGTTATGTTAGATAAAGTAGGACACATTAGTTTGTTAGATAAAGTAGCATACGTTAATTTGTTAGATAAAGTAGAACACATTTCATAGTTGGTCAGTCACGTTTGTCATTATCTTTTCATAGTTTGTTATTCACGTATTTTGTGAGTTGTATATATACACATATGTACAGTGATGACAAATATACAAAAAAAAAGATTTTTTTCTCAATCAATTTCTTCCTATTTTTTCACACATCGCCACAACTTTCTCCCTTTTAAAAAAATTATGCATTGTCTGCCACCAATGAAATAATTAAATCTACTGAAACTAACAAAAACAGGCTGAGAAATATTATGCTTGTTCATGATATCCACTTAGTAAATTAACATCAACAAAAAAAAAGAAGTGAAAGAGAGCGCAACGTGCCCTTGCTTGGTGGGTTGTTAATTAATCAGTTCTAAGAGAATGCCATGTAGGACATGAAATTGCACTGACTAGGTTTTTTTTTGTCTAATTCCACTCCCAACTCTTGGATTGGTTTAAAAGAGGAATCATTTGAACCTACCTCTAATTTTAGCTTAGAAAAAATAAAGTGGCTCCTCCTCCTTTTTTGTTGTATCAATAATACAATTGTCACACTGATCACATAGGCTCTTTATTTATTTTTAATGCTATCCAATAGGATTTACTTTTTGCTTGTGTTTTAGTGAGGAGTTGGGTGATGTTTCAATCGCATTGACTTATTAAATTTTGGGGTGATTGTGTTTTAATAACAACCTATTTGATTAATAGATTTCCTTCCAAAGTTCTCAAATACAAAACACCTTATAAGATTCTTTTCAAGTCTAAACCAAATTATTAGAGTCTTAAGTGTTTTGGTTGTTTGTATTTTGCTTCCACTCTTTCACTTCATATGGTAAAGTTTGAACCTAGAGTTGTGTTATGTGTGTTTTTTTTGGATATTCTCATGGAAAGAAAGGTTTTAAGTTACTAAATCTTCAAATCAAGAAAATTTTTGTTTCAAGAGATATGATGTTTCATGAAAACATATTCCCTTTTACTCCTACTAAACTTGGTGAATGCACCAAATTTTTTCTATCTAAGGATTATACTGTTGGTTCTAAGGATCTTGTGCCTACTTTAGTTCCTCATGATCTGTCCGTAAAGGACAATTCTATCCTATTTTACCTATCACTAAGTCTGCTTTTCCTGATGATCATCATTCCGGTGTCTTTGAATCTCCATCTTTTCCTATTATTCATGCTAACATCCCCCCACCTTAAGTTCTCCTATGATTATAGATAATACTCTTAGTTAATATTCTAGGTCTCATAAAACACCTGATTATCTAAAGGATTATATCTGCAACACTTTGCTACTCACCAATGTCACCAGTTCTTGTTTTCTTTCCTCTGTTACTCTTCAATTTTCTTTTTCCAGTTTGTCTTCCACAAATCAAGCATTCATAAATTTCCTCTCAAATCTCCAAGAACCTACTAGCTACACTCAAGCTATGATGCACCCAGGTTGGAAAAATGCCATAGCTAATGAAATTGCAGCTCTTGAATTAAACAAAATTTGAAAGGTAGTAGAGTTACCACACGGGAGAAAGGCATTACCCTGTAAATGAGTGTATAAAATCAAACGACATTTAGATTGAAGCGTGAAAAGACTCAAAGCTCGATTGATAATTAGATGCGATATACAAAGAAAGGGAATATATATCAATGAAACATTTTCACCGGTTGTTAAAGTGACAACAATTAAGTGTATCTTGTCTATAACTATAAAAAAGAATTGGGGATTATTTCAACTTGATGTGGATAATGCATTTTTACATGAAGATTTAGATGAGGAGGTGTACATGAAATTTCCAGTCGGACTTACTCCTCCTTCCTCAAATCATGTTTGTAGGTTGAAGAAATCCCTTTACGGATTTCGACAAGCATCTCAGCAATGGTATACCAAATTGACTCCTGCCTTAAATTTCGAAGGTTTTACTCATTCGTTAACTGACTATTCCATGTTCTTTAAGAAAACAAATTCTTCTATATGCATTGTGGCTATCTATATAGATGATATCTTGTTAATATGAAATGATATAGAAGATATGAATGGACTTAAGGTCTTCCTGAATCAAGAGTTAAAAATTAAACCCTTGGGAAAATTGCACTATTTCCTTGGTATGGATTTTCTTCGCGAGCAGCGGGGTCTAATTCGCAGTCAACACAAGTTCACTTTGGATTTGCTGGCAGAATTTGATATTCTCAGCCTTATTCCAGTATCTTCCCCTTTTGATCCCACATCAAAATTGCTTGCTAATTCGGGTGATCGAATCAAAGACCCAACTTTGTATCGCCATCTACTTGGAAAGTTAAATTATCTCACACATATTTGCCTAGATCTTGCCTTTACAGTACACCATTTGAGCCAATATATGCAAGATCCAAGGGCCCGTTATCTGAATGACGCTCTCTATGTCCTTCACTACTTGTTGAAGAACCGAGATTATTCATGTCTTCATCACCATCCTTTGAGTTGATAGCTCTCTGTGATTCAAATTGGAGGACTTGACCCAATTCTCAAAAGTTAGTGAGTGGATTTTACATAGCTCTTGGTGATTCTCCTATCTCCTAGAAGTCAAAGAAGCAAAATTCTATTTCCCCTAACTCTGTTGAAGCTGAGTATCAGTCCATGAGGAGAGTTGTTGCTGAGTTGACTTGGTTGGTGCAATTATTGATTGATCTTTCGATTCCTATAGCTTTGTTGGTCCTCTTCACTCGGATAGCAAAGTTGCAATACATATTGCCAAGAATCCCATTTTTCTTGAGCGAACAAAGCATATGGAGCTTGATTGCCATTTCTTCCGACAACAATTCCCAGCTGGTTAATTTCACTCTCATTCTCTCCATCTTCGTCTCAGTTAGCCGATTTATTCACCAAGCCCTTAACAGAATCTCATCACCGTAACCTTCTGGTCAAGTTGGGAGTGTTCCCCCCCCCCCCCCCCCCCCCCAACTTTAGGGAGGAGGGGGGGGTGTTGGTGTAGATAATGGTGAAACAGTAATGAAGAAGACATAGATCTTCTAGGTGTGTTTCTTTGTCTGAAAAGGCTTATGGAAGATTAGTCATATATATTTTTTTAATTCCTTGCAATTATCTTTTGGTTATGTTAGATAAAGTAGGACACATTAGTTTGTTATATAAAGTAGGACACATTTCATAGTTGGTCAACCACGTTCGTCATTATCTTTTCATAGTTTGTTATTCACGTATTTCGTGAGTTGTATATACACATCTGTACAATGATGAAAATATACAAAAAAAATAAAAAAAATTCTCTCAATCAATTTCTTCCTATTTTTTCACATATCGCCACAACTTTCCTCCTTTAAAAAAACTATGCATTTCTAGACACCAATAACGATAGTTAGATCTATTGAAACTAACAAAAACAGATTGGGAAATATTATTGTTGTTCATGATATTTACTTAGTATATTAACATCAACAAAAAAAGAAGTGAAAGATAAAGGAAACCCAACAAAGTGATTAAACAATAATTGCTACGAACAAAATACAACGAGAAATATAGAAGAGTGGATATGAATTTCAACAACCCAATGAATCTGTAATATCATGTTACAAAAAGAGACAGAGAAACACAAAAAAATCTAAAGAATTGATAGGTCTCTACGTCGCTGGATACAAGAGACTACAACCCTATTTATACACCAGAAATTAAGAAGCAAAAAAAAAATAATCTAGAATATCTAAATATATATAATACTCAACCATAATTAAAATATCTCTACAATGTTTACCACATCTTAACAATTTCGATTATTTTGTTTAAAATTAAAGTCAAACTAAATAAAAAAAGTATGTCTTTTTTCTTTAATTTGATTTTTTAATTTTTTCATTTTCTATGAACACCCCTTCCCCTAGCAAATCAGAAAAAGATGGTGAAAAGAAGAAGAAAGGAAACGTCAGAACAAAATAATCAAAAGAGGGCGAAATATTTGACTCCCGATCCAACTACTCTCCATTCCACAGGTCAACTATCAAAGTTTCCTCCCAATTTTTATGGATTCTATAAAGTAGCATAATCTCTATGCATTTGAATTCTCTTTCAGCAAAAAAGGTATATTTTCTTGTAATTTTTTCTAATTCAAAAGCTCAATGAAGGTTCTTCAGTTTCCTTTTTTTTTTTTTTTTTTCTTTTTTGTGTTCTATTATAGAATGGAAAGTTTGGGTTTTTTTCTAATTCCACTCCCTACTCTTGGATTGGTTTAAAAGAGGAATCATCTGAACCTACCTTTAATTTTAGCTTAGAAAAAATAAAGTGGCTCCTCCTCCTTTTTTCTTGTATCAATTATACAATTGTCACACTGATCACATAGGCTCTTTATTTATTTTTAATGCTATCCAATAGGATTTACTTTTTGCTGGTGTTTTAGTGAGGAGTTGGGGTGATATTGAACTAATGATTGATTGTTTTATCTTTTGTTGTCTAGTTATAGGCTGCAAATTTATTTCATCTTTTATTAGTGCCTTGAAAAGATTATGACTTATCAGAACTGACATAGTTCACTACTTAATACTCCCGCCATTCCATTTTATATGACTTAGTTTGACTTGATATAGTGTTTAAGAAAGAAAGAAAGAGTTTTGAAACTTGTGATCTGAAATAAATGATACATATTTGTGTGATTATAAATCATTTCATAAGGATAAAATGAACATTTTAAAGTTAAATTGTTGCTTAATATAGAAATGTATCATTTTTTTTGACCGACTTAAAAGAAAAGTGAGTCATGTAAACTGGGACATAGCGAGTACAATTTTTGTTTGATTTCTTAATACTGTCAGATTGACAAATAGAAAATAGTTGTTGGAATGATCTGTTTATTGTCTTGTTAAGGGATTCTGGAATTCATTCTTTGACTGGACAAAAAAGCTATAGGGAGAAAGATGTCCTTCAACTCTGAAAGTTCATTACCACATTCCAAACAGTGGGATTATGATGTGTTTTTGAGTTTTAGAGGAGAAGATACTCGTAAGACCTTTGTCGCCCACCTTTATAGAGAATTAAGTCGAGCTGGAATCAATACCTTCAAAGATGATGAAACACTAAAAAGTGGTGTATCCATCTCACCTCAACTTGTGAGTTCCATAAAACGGTCAAGGTTTGCCATTCTCGTCTTCTCAGAGAACTATGCTTCATCCAAATGGTGCTTGGATGAGTTATCGAAGATTATGGAATGTCAACTTGAACTTGGGCAGGTAGTTGTACCAATCTTCTACGACATCACTCCGTCAGAAGTACGCTACCAGAGAAATAGTTTTGCTAAAGCCTTTTCCAGGTATGAGGAAGATTTCAAGGGTGACACCAACAAGGTGCATAACTGGAGGAAAGCTTTAAAAGAAGCAGCCGATTTGTCTGGCCATGATCTGCATGGAGCTACTTACAATGGGTCAGTAGCTATATTACTTCATTTTGTCAAGCATTTCTTCTATAATGGTTGTTGCACTTGCACATGTTTTCTTTGTACAACTCATGAACTTATTGAACTGCAAGTAACCCCATGCCACCTACTCCCTCACCTTTCGTAAATGTAAACTATGCAGATCAGTTAAAGTTCACTTGTTCTAGTAAGTAAGGTGAGTATCATCCTTTTTGTTCTTACAATCTATACATAATTCCTATTTGAAGATTCCAATTACATTCACACTCTCCTCAAATATTTTTTCAATATTTTGTTTTGTTTTACTCTATCTGTGTTTTATTTGTCTGTGTATTTTCTTTTATTCGAGTTCTTTTTTGCTCAGATTGTCATTGTCCTCTCTCTCTCGTGCAGAGACGAGTCTATATGCATTCAACATATTGTGAAAGATATATCTAATAAGTTGAGCCGAAAGTCAATGATCAGTGGCACTCTTGTGGGAGCAGAATCACAAATTCAAGCTGTACTTTCACTGTTGATGATGGAGTGTGAAGATGTTCGATTTATTGGGATTTTAGGGATGGGTGGTATTGGGAAGACCACCATTGCAAGGGCTATTTTTGATAGTATTTCTCATCAATTTGAAGGTGCTTGTTTTGTTGTAAACGTTAAAGAAAATCAACCTAAGCTGGGATTGTTGTCTCTACAAAAGACTCTGGTTTCTGAGGTGTTGACAGTTGAATCTGTGAATATAGCTGATGAATATGGTGGAATTGATATGATCAGAAAAAGGCTTGGTTCTAAGAAGGTTTTAGTAGTTCTTGATGATGTGGATCACCAAGACCAGTTGGATGGGTTAGCTGGACACCGTAATTGGTTTGGTGGAGGCAGTAGAATTATTATAACAGCAAGGGATAAACACTTATTTCGGGACTGTGATGGAACTTATAGTGTTGGCTTACTAGCTGAAGCTGAAGCGATTCAGCTGTTTAGTTGGCATGCTTTTAGAAAGACATCTCCTAACAGTGATTTTCAGCAGCTCTCTCAATGGGTGGCACAGTACGCCGGTGGCCTTCCCCTGGCGCTTAAAGTCATAGGTTCCTTCCTGTGTGGACGGAGCATGAAGCAGTGGAGAGATGCACTAGATACACTGAAAGGTATTCCAGAAGATGAAATTATTTCAAAGCTTAAGATAAGTTGTGATGGACTGGAGGATGCACATAAGCAAGTTTTTCTAGACTTAGCATGTTCCCTTATACCAGGTCCTGCTTATATTAGAAAACTGTACCCTGAAATAATAATAGCTGTCCTGATTGAGAAGTCCCTCCTTTTTGAGTCATCATTTGAAAGGATTGCGATGCATGATTTGATTCGAGAAATGGGACGACGCGTTGCACTGCAACAATACCCAAGGAAAAGGATATGGCTTCATGAAGATATTGCTGATGTTTTAACAGAAAATACGGTATCAAACTTATTTTGAGAAATTTTATAAATTATAAGTCATTAATTTACGATATTCTGTTCTTGCCTTGAGGAAAATGAGGCAATGTATTAAGCTTTTAAATGAGGTTAAAAGCATTTTCAAACCATACACCTATTAAGTACTCTTTTAAAAATGTATTTTCCAGAGGATGGATGGAAATGGATTCCTGCATTTACTTAGAAAATAGAAAATTACTCTTTGATGGGTTCTTTCAAAGAAGCTTTAGACTCAATTATCACATGCAAGTATAAAAGCTGCTCCGGTAATGCAATTTTTGAATCCTCTCAGGGTGTAGAAGCAGTAGAAGGCATATTAATTCCATTGAAGTCTGATGCAGAGGAAGATACTATACACCTGAGCAATGAAGTCTTTAGACATATGAAGCGACTAAGAGTATTCATTAAACCATATCACATGAACTTCATGCATTTGTGTGCTCATGAGCCTATAAATTTCCTTCCTAACAGCTTATGCTGGTTTGATTGGTCGTATTATCCTTCAGCATCGTTGCCAAAAGATTTTAAACCACCAAAACTGGTGGGCCTTATTATGCGTTGCAGTTATGTGGTTAACCTTTGGAAGGAGTCGAAGGTATGATTTGTGTGAGAAATATAGGAAAAGAATATTATTGAATTGTTGTTGTTTACATTATTACATTGAGACCCTATTTATAGACCCTAGAATACAATCCTTTACCAAGTAGGATACTATTTAGTATTCCTATTTCTATTTCTATTTCTATTCCTATTCCTGTTCTAATAGGATTGTATAAACTTATTCTTATTCTAATAGGATTGTATAAATCTATTCCTATTCTAACACTCCCCCTCAAGCTAGTGCATACAATTCATGTACCTAGCTTGTTACAAATGTAATTAACACGAGGACCGATGAGGGACTTGGTGAGATATCTGCAAGTTGATCACTCGACTTCACAAATTTGACAATCAATCTCAATGGGCTTGGTCTTCTCATGAAATACTGAATTTGATGCATAATGCCGATAAAACAGAGAGTGATAAAATTACAGTGTTGAACTTCCCAAACCAAGCTTGCAAAAACTATTTCAGACCATAGAGTGACTTACATAATCAACATACAAGGCTACTAAACTCCCCCTGAGCAACAAATTAGGTGGTTGCTCCATATAGACTTCTTCACAATGCAACGGTCGCCGGAAGTGCTCAAAATCTAGTATAAAGTGTATGGATCATGTTGGAATCAATAGACGTCTCAATATTTAACAAGAAAGTCACCGAAAAATTGGCTGGAACATGCTCATATGCCGGAGTATTGATTTGATGGATAAAAGTGGTCACAATCTAAGAAATAAAATTATATGGGTAGGGTTGGAATGATGTCACGACCCAACTAGAAAATAGAAATTATATAGGATAGTTCGAATTGATGGAATGACCCCCATTGAAAAAGAGAAATAATATGGGTAGGGTCGGAATGATGGCACAACCCTAATGAAAAAGAAAAATAATATGGGTAGGATTGGAATGATGGCACAACCCTACGCAAATCTGATTTGAGGAGTCACCGGAAAGACGAATGGGAATATGCAAATCAAATCTGAGGAGTCACTAAAAAGACATGATGCTATGCAACTCAGATATGAGAAAGTAGTTCGGTAAAATCCACGGTACTACACAAATTAATTATGAAAAGTAGTCCGGAGAGATGCACGGTGCTACGCAAATAAGATATGCAAAAAAAGGTAGTCACCGGAAGGATGTCACGGTGCTACACAAATTATATATGAAAAAGTAGTCACTGGAATGATGGCACAGTGCTACACAAATTAAATATGAAAAAGTAGTCACCGGAATGATGACACGGTGCTACAAAAATTAAATATGAAAAAAGTAGTCACCGGAATGATGGCACGGTGCTACACAAATTAGATATAAAAAAGTAGTCACTGAAAAGATGGCACGGTGCTACAAGTTAGATATAAGAAAGTAGTCACCGGAATGATGGCACAGTGCTTAAATAAATCAAATATGAGAAAATAGTCACCGGAAAGATACATGGTGACCCAACTTTTGCTAACATAATTGTTGGCCAGACGGGCGGCATATATGAGTAATAGCCGCCCGCCGGCAGCGGAATCACTTTGATCGTTTACCAAGATCGTAGAGGCTCTGATACCATGTGAGAAATATAGGAAAAGAATATTATTGAATTGTTGTTGTTTACATTATTACATTGAGACCCTATTTATAGACCCTAGAATACAATCCTTTACCAAGTAGGATACTATTTAGTATTCCTATTTCTATTTCTATTTCTATTCCTATTCCTGTTCTAATAGGATTGTATAAACTTATTCTTATTCTAATAGGATTGTATAAATCTATTCCTATTCTAACAGACTCATTTAACTTCTTGTTTTCCTTCAATCAGGTGAAAATTAGTTTTCTTGAATATTTTTTTTGATATTAGTATTATTTGACTCCTTTCTTTTGATGATCATACTTGCAAACTGTGCAAGGAATTGGAGAGAATAACTTGTGTCTTATTCAATAGGTAAACATGTATAAATACAATAATATTAGAAGCTAACTAAGGAAAGAAATAAAGAGGAAATCCTAAAGATATGCTATCTATCTATATCTTTGTACAATATCAAGAAAGAGATCTATATACATTTTGTAACACTCCCCCCTCAAGCTGGAGCATGTATATTGATCATGCCCAGCTTGTTACAAGGTAATTTACTCGAGCTCTATGCAATGTCTTCATGAACAAATCAACCACTTGTTCTCCTGTCTTCACGTAGCCCGTAGATATCAAGTTTTCCTGAATCTTCTCACGAATAAAATGACAATCAACCTCAATATGTTTCGTTTTTTCATGATATACCAGATTTGAAGCAATATGAAGCACAACTTGATTATCACACCAAAGTTTTGATGAAGTAGAATGCTTCAATCCAATTTCAGTTAAAAGATGATGTATCCACATGATTTCACATGTAGAATGTGCCATTGCACTATACTCGGATTCTGTACTGGACCGAGATACAACGTTTTGTTTCTTACTTTTCCATGACACCAAGTTTCCACCAACAAAAGCACAATAACCAGTAGTAGATCTTCGATCAATCTTGGATCCAGCCCAACCTGCATCTCCGAAACACTCAATGTGAGAGTGTCCATGATTGCTATACAATATACCAAGTCCAGGGGCTCCTTTTAAATAACATAAGATTTGTTCTAAAGCTGCCCTATGTCTGACTGTGGGTGTGGACTTGAACTGACTAACCACACTTACTGCAAAGGCGATATCTGGACGAGTCACAATGAGATAATTTAATTTCCCAATCAACTTTCTATACCGTTCTGGATCTTCAAATGGATAGTCATCATCTTTCATAAGATGCACATTAGGAACCATTGGAGTACTGCAAGGCTTGGCAGCCAACTTTCCAGTTTCTGCCAGTAGGTCAAGAATATTCTCTCTGACATAGAAAAATACCCTTCTTGCTTCTAGATACTTCTATTCCCAAGAAGTATTTAAGTTGTCCCAAGTCTTTTGTATGAAACTTAGTATGTAAGAAAGACTTGAGAGAAGAGATACCAGCAAAATCACATCCAGTAATGACAATGTCATCGATATATACAACAAGGAGAATAGTTCCAGTAACAGATTTCATATAAAAGACTGAATGATCACATTTGCTCTTTTCCAATCCGAACTCCTGAACTACCTCGCTAAATTTTCCAAACCAAGCTCGAGGACTCTGTTTCAAGCCATACAAGGACTTCTTCAAGTGACAAACCTTTCCATACTCCCCCTGAGCAACAAAACCATGCGGTTGCTCCATATAAACCTCTTCGTGGAGATCACTATGAAGGAACGCATTCTTAATATCCAACTGATGTAACGGCCAATTCTCAGAAGTAGCTAGAGAAATGAACAAGCGGACAAAAGTGAGTTTGGCAACCGGAGAGAAGGTATCTGAATAATCCACCCCATAAGTCTGAGCATACCCTTTGGCCACAAGTCTAGCCTTAAGTCTTGCCACAGAGCCAACTTTGACTGTGAATACCCATTTGCTTCCCACTGCTTTCTTTCCACTAGGTAAGTCTACCAGATCACATGTGTGATTTTCCTCTAAGGCATGTATTTCCTCAAGCATTGCTTTAGACCATCCAGGATGATTCAAAGCCTCCTTAACAGTTTTGGGTACAGATATAGAGTTCAGAGATACAATCAAAGATCTAGATGCGGGAGATAACTAACCGTAGGAAACAAAATTACCAATGGAATATATGGATTTGCAAGTGCATGTACCTTTGCGAAGAGCAATAGAAAGGTCAATATTTTCGATAGGATCACTTGGAGGAGGATCTGATGACGAAGGAGTTGGTGCAACATAGGTATCATTAGTCTCCCGCCTCCTAGAGTAAACCTGAACAACGGGCAGCCTTGTTGGAGCTGATGGAACTGGCGCTGAAGGCACAATAGTAGATTGGTGCTCAATTGAAGAATCAGGCGATGTATGAGAAACATCATTTGATTGTTCTGGAATGGCCCTAGTAACTTGGTACACTAACCACTCATCTTCCTCCCCCTGACTTGTAGAAATGGTAGGTGCATAGAAGAATGGTGTAGCCTTCGAAAAGGCTACATCAATTGATACCAAATATTTTCCAAGTTCAGTAGAGTAACAACGATATCCTTTCTGAAGGAGAGAATATCCGAAGAAAACACACTTCAAGGCCTTGGGATCCAACTTGGTAACTGATGGTCGAACATCTCTAACATAACAAGTGCTTCCAAATACATTAGGTTCCACCGGAAATAGGGACTTATTTGGAAAAAGAATGTTATAGGGTACATTACCTACAAGCACAGTAGATGGCATGCGATTAATCAGGAAACAAGTTGTAGAGATTGCATCGGCCCAAAACTGTTTAGGAACCTTTGTTTGAAACAATAGTGCCCGAGCTGTCTCAAGTAGATGCCTATTTTTTCTTTCAGCAACTCCATTCTGAGAAGGTGTATCAACACAAGATGACTGGTGGAGAATCCCATGTTGCCTCATATACGGCTGAAATGATTCTGACATGTATTCTTTAGCATTATCACTCCTTAGCACGGTAGTATTAAATTGAGTTTTAACTTCAGCGAAAACGCACAAAAATGGGAAAACACTTCAGATCTATTCTTCATAAAGTATATCCACGTCATTCTAGAAAAGTAATCCACAAAAGTAACAAAATATTTATGTCCAGTTTTGGAAACAACAGGACATGGTCCCAAACATCAGAATGAACTAACTCAAAAGTTGACTCTACTCGCTTATCAACCCTTGGACTTAACGAGGTGTGATGGTGTTTAGCAAATCGACATGATTCACAATCCAAGAAAGAAATATTTTGAAACTCGGGACAAAGCTTCTTCAACAACGGTAGTGAAGGATGTCCCAATCGACAATGTACTTCAAATGGAGAAATAACACCTGAGCATGCAACAGACCGAGGTTCCCATTCATCAAGGATGTAGAGATCATCATATACATGTCCTTTACCAATAACCTGATTTGTTCCAATGTCACGAAACAGACAATAATCGGGAAAGAA